CATACATTTCGGCTATCAGCGCTGACGGTCAGCGTGCGTCAGCGTGATTTTAAAACCAGCCTTAATGTTACCAATAGCTTTCCTTACTGCCACTTGACCATCGTCATCATCATCATACCCTCTTAACTCACGTTCTCGTCACTGCAACTCCAGTTTAATCAGAGTTTACAGTTTGCCAATAACCTCATCATCATCATCATTTCTTCATCAGCACGGTCTTCTCCAATTTACCAAAGACAAATTAATGTGGAATTTGGTCTAAACCCACGCTGGCTAGACGGGTTGGGGAAGTACTTATAATACTATGACTTGTTTTAGCTATTGAATGATTTGTAACTTTTTGTCAAGTGCTTTTTTTGCTGTCATGACTTTAACCGTAACTTTAACAATAACCGTTGTTTTTTGTATGGAGTTTGACAGATTTCTGACGTTTGCTAAAGTGGTGATGGTGCAACCCAGCCTAAGTTTAGTGATAGTTATTTAGGGTGGATTCAACCAAACAAGAGTTAATATTAATCTCAGAATAAACTTGTCATTTGTGTGCGATGTGGAAGTCATTGGGGGAGGCCTATGTTCAGCAGTGGACATCCTGTGGCTGAAATGATGATGATGATGATGAAACTTGTCATTTTGACATATTTCCCATTCTGAAACTGTCAATGTGCCAGTTATACCAGAAGTTATTCTCGGATTAAAGTTTGGTCGAATCAGGCCTTAATCGTCCAAGTTGATATTGAACTGAGTGCTCTGAACATTCACTTTGCATACTCTTGACTAAAAAAAGATTTAGCTTTAGATCGAACTGATTTCTTGGGCTGCTACTTTTCAGTACTGGTAAAAAACTCAGTAAAAACTCAGTAAAACTCATTTATTTCTGTAAGTAGGCTTTAAAAAAGCACTTTTACACGTCCCAATATTAACCCTACCACTGCTTCAGGACAATAAATGGGCCAGTGCTGAGAAGAAGCAGCGCAAGAAACTCAGACACTATTGTCAGCCTCTTTTTCAAAGGCCCATTTATTGTCCCGGAGCAGAGGTAGGATTAATGGGACGTGTAAATGTGCTTTTTAAAAGCCTATTTGCAAAAATAAATGAGTTTTCTGAGTTTTAACGGTGTCAATGTCAGTCGGTGTGTTTGCAACACTGCCAGATTCCATTGATGGGATTATTTTATTTCATTTATTTGTAAATGATAATTTTGGTAGTCTAGTTGTTAGAATTTTTCGATTTTGTAAGTCCTTTCCTTTGGTTCGATTCTCAGAGGAACTTATGAAATAGTGTGAAAAATCAATTAAGATGTTGTCAGATCATGTAAGCTCTTTATTTAACAAACCAATTAGAAAAAACAAGCTTTAAACATCTACATAATTGACACGAAAAAATGTTTTTCTGTGTAGGAACACATTTACATAACTTAAAACTGTGTAATTAAATATTTTACTGAACGTAATTAATGTTTAAGTGTACGTAATATTCTGTAGTTCTATACTTTAATAATAATAGGGTCACCAGCACATCAAACTTTAAACTTTTACTCCAAAATCGCACTTAAATCCATTAAATAAGACGGCATATTATTTACTTTCCTCTGCAGTCGTCTTTACACTCATCAAGGTCATTCAGTTACTACATATCGTCCAGTCAATGAATTTATTGCATAGTAAATATTAGTAGTTTTATTTTGGTCAAGTAAATAAAACAAGTCTTGAAATAAATTGCAATGTTAGGCCGATTTTGCACTAAGGGTAAGACTACACTTATGCCAACTATATTATTAAATTCATTTATATTACTAAAAACCGAGTTTGATTAATCTGTACACAGAAATGCTTAAGTGTCGGTTTAATTAATGGTTTAATTATTTTTCTTTAAATACAACTAACACTCTTCATCTCTCTTCACTGTTATCTCACTGGGTTGTCTGGAAGAGGTAGTTTTCTATTCATAAATCCGCGTTGTGGTGCCGTTTCACTTGATATTTGTAATAATGTCTATTTTCTATCTATCTATCCATCTCAATGTGGATATCATCATGTTATTTAGTCTCTACTATTCAGTAAAAGGAGAGTTTGACCTATATTACCCCACAAAAAAAAATCAGCCCCTGGATTGATCCCCATAAGCAAAGAAGCAGAATTACTTCTCTGGATAGCTTAAATTAGGGTTAATTAGCGCCTGTATTCACAAACATTACTATGAGGTCTCACAGTGCGCGTGTGATGCACAGGGTGACCTACAAACCAATCACAGAGCTCTATTCAATGCTGTGCGTTCGATTTGCTACTTCACTTAAGCAAGCATCGTTTGTGAACACGGGTGTTAGTCGATTTTGACGTAACTGCCAGCCTTTTGTGTATTTGATGTAATTACCAACAAACAGCGTGAACTCAGCTTAACAAATAAGTGTAACTGCCATTTTTCGTAACAAACGCGCAAGCGTCTCGGATGATAGCACATAATCACGACAGGACAGTTGCAACATTTAACCTTTGTTTTATGCTTTCTAATTATTTTATTATGTGTTAAAACAATTTTAAGAACATAGGTCCTGGTACTAGTGCTTATTTTTCAAGGAATTTTCCGGGAAAAAATCGGTCATTCAGGCAGGCCTGTTCATCTCCGCAAGTTTACATCGAAAACAAAACACGCACGATGGCCCACCTACAGGATACTATAATTCGACAAGGCCTCACATACGAGCGAACATTGACTCACGCACGCGTATTCTTGTGTACCTATGATGGAAGAAAATAAAGAAAATGGTGTACTAAATACTGTGCAGTAGGTATTTAACTGCGTAAATAATAATAAAAACACAGAATGTACTTTTTTAAGTTGCCTCAAGACACTGAGAGGTAAATAAGTAGTTAATATTATTCATGATAATTCATGCTAAATCATGTATTTCCTCCGCCATTTTCCGCAGTTTGGCACCTCACGTCACATCATTTTACCGAAGTCAGCCCTATAGCTTCGGCGCAGTGCCGATCACTGACGTTTGTCAACAAAATGGTGCTCGACTCTTGAGACAGGCTAAATTACACTATATTGTTAATGACATTGAGCATACATTTTTTTAAATACCTTCGCGAAGTAAAACTTCTGTACGTAGTACTTATTATTATTATGTGATTCAGGTCAGTGTCTGAGGTATAGGAGCGGCTCAGGAAGGGAGCATACCAATCTGAAGGAAATCTGAGGGCTGTGTGTGAGTTTACATCAGTCTTTCCCAAAGTGGGCGATAACGCCCCCTTGTGGGCGCTGCAGGCTTAAAGGGGGGCGGTAAGAGACCCAGAAAAAAAATCGGGGCGTTGTGTAGAGGCTTGGGAGGCGCCACCTACTAGGAGGACTCTCAGACATCGACTGAGCTCCACTCTTGACTACAAAAATGGGGGGCGCTCAAAAATGATTTATTCTCAAAGTGGGCAGTAGAATAAATAAGTTTGGGAACCACTGGTTTACATCAAACGTCCTCACTAGTGAGCGTTATAAAAAACGTCCTCACTAGTGAGCGTTGAAAATTTTAGTTCTTGAAAGTTTCCGCTAGGGGCGCTGTACGTACAATCCGTCAATTTAATGACACTTTTTTACGCAGTCGACATTGAATGCGTTTGACATAAACTCACACTAAGCCCCCTGAGCCCACAAGGTGGACCGACGACCTGATAAAGGTAGCGGGAAGGCGCTGGATGCAGGCCGCTACCAACCGTGCGATGTGGAAGTCATTGGGGGAGGCCTATGTTCAGCAGTGGACGTCCTGTGGCTGAAATGATGATGATGATGATGAAGCCCCCTGAAGTCTCGTTGACGTTTGACGTCAAAAACACCCTCCCGTGCCGCTCCCATACCTCAGGCTCTGACTGAGTTAAGCGCTATGACCTATTATTAAGACAACGATTTTTTTACGTTTTATCCCATTTATTTTTAAAACTGTTAAGCTGGACATTCAAATATTTTCCTTTATGTAATCTACGGTAGGCCTTTTGTCCTTTAACTGAAATGATTTTTCACAATGTTAAGTATTCTTTTTTCGATTAATTATTAAACCAGAAATTTAATATGATCTTCAATCAGGAATCAGATACGGTATAGCAAACAAATTCGATTGTTCTTTAAGTAAAAAAAAATTTTTTTCGCCTTTTGAACTAATATTATTGACTTCAGTTACTAAGTTTCTATGAGATGAATGAGATATAACAAGAAAATTATTTTCAAGTCAAATGTCAACACTAATCTGAATGAATATAAATCTATACACAAATATTTACCTTTCAGTATAACTTCATTATTATAGTACACCGAAGTACACTGAACTGCCTTTTGAGTGTAGTTATTTGTTTAAATTTTAATTTAGCACAGTTTAATGAAATTTTACAACATAATTTTTTAACGGATAAAAAATATTTTTCACCACTACATATAGGTAATAATATAAAAATGTTTCATAGTTTTAAGTATTTTTTTTATATTTAAAAAAATTATAAAACACATTTTTCTAAGACAAAGTTCTCAAAATACAGAAAAATTAGTTGCCAAAAAAATTTAATCGTGTCTACTAAAAAATAAATATTTGATGTCTGAAAAAAGTTATTTTGTGTGAACAGCATAATTTCAGCTAAAAGGATGAATCCTAGATTTTTCTGCTTGCAAGGTTTAAACCTTTATTATACACAAAATAAATTTTCCTAAAATTATTAACCTTTTGTCTCAGAACGATTCTGACTTTGAATTTTTTATATTAAATTATGTCATAATTCTTTGTTTATTGAGAAACAAAATATTTTTCATTTTATATTATGCCTTTGACAATTACACAGTAAATATTGACAGAATCGCACAAAAAATATTAAAATTGAGTTAAAAAAAAATACAAGGATCACGTTGCTTACAGTCAAAGTTTAAGCGCAAATTCTAGAATAATGCAAATAAACCAACATGCCTATTAAAATAATCTACATTATGTCAAAACTAAACCTCTCATTCACTATTCTAGCACCTACCAAAACTAACGCATCGCCCCACTAAATGCAAGGTTACAACACTACGGCTTCGATCAATCTGACTCGGCACACAGTACAGAGAACTGGGACCATGCGGTGGTTGTGCATAGTGTTGTGCTTCGGATTCGCGTGGGGAGACAATGCTACGATACAATGTGAGTAGATTTTTATTTTTTTGTACTTTTTGATTGTATGGCTGATTTTAAAGGATGGAATGAGTCAATTTTAAAGTAAGGGAGAGATGTATGAAAGTAGTTTTTGGAGGATTTGCCAAAATTTTGGTGTGAATATTTTTATAATTATTGGAAATGAAAAATTTGAAAATTGTACTAATGCAATGAATGAAACAAAGAAAGTAATTAAGCTAAAAAGCAATTTTGTTACGCTATTTTTTTACGGTAAAAAAGTGTGGCAACATTATTACGGGAAATAACATGATACGTAAATAAGTGTACAAAACTATTGTTATAAAACTAAATTTATTAATGTAACACAAAAAAAATACATACAGTCAAAATATAGAACCACCTCCTTTTTTGAAGTCGGTTAAAAAAAAACAAAAGTTACCTCGTACGCGTAAAATCTGTAGTGAAAAGTCCAAACAAAAAATTAAATTTCAATAGCTACTTATTAAATTACTGAAATTACGAATTCATGCCTAAGTGCCTGAAAAGTCAGAACAAATCCTACATTTCTATTTTTTTTTCAAATAGATTCATGAATTCATCTGGGGGCACGGCAGTGCCCCCACCAAGTCGAGCAAAAAAGCGGCACGGCCGTACTATCCTTTTCTCGAAGCAATTCAGGCCATTTTCGACTGCCTGTAACTTCGTTGTGGATAAAACTAGAAGGCTGAATTTTCATTAGCTATGCAGGCATTGTAAAGACACGGTATATTTAAAATTTCATTCAATTTGAACCAGTAGTTTAAGAATTATAACGGGTCAAAGTTACTTAATTTTGTCACTCACTGACTGACTCACTGACTCACTGACTCACTCACTGACTCACCGATCATCAAAACTCTAAGGCACTTCTAGCAGACCTAGAAGCTTCAAATTTGGAATATAAGTAGTGTTTGGTGTATGAATCAAGGAAAAACTAAAATATTTGGGGGCACGGTAGTGCAACCGCCAAGTCGAGTAAAATTTTTCAATTTCGGTCCAGTTTTCTAGATACATAACTGCTGTCTACAAAATACAAAAAGAAATGATATCCCATCAAAAACAATACTTGTCAAAAAAACCAAGTCTCGCAACTCAGTTGTTCTACGGTAAAAAGTTGTGAGATCCATGTAATACCAAGTCCAGGCCAGGAAATCTTTAACGTTTTACATAAATATATTGACTTGGCCATCGCATGAAAACACGTGTAAATTAAATTATTTAGTGCGATGGCCAAGTCAATAATTTATGTAAAACGTTAAAGATTTCCTGGCCTGGACTTGGTATTACATGGATCTCACAACTTTTTACCGTAGAACAACTGAGTTGCGAGACTTGGTTTTTTTGACAAGTATTGTTTTTGATGGGATAATTATTACACGTGCCTAATTTTTAGAAAAAAGATGACAATAGACGTTAATTACTTACTTATGCGACGAAGAAATCATTATTTTATTATTACTGTCGATATTATAGCAAAGACGTACGAGTATATTAATTACTATAATAGCTGTGCCCGCGACTTCGTACGCGTGAAAATAATTTGAATAATATTTACCGTTTTTGCAACTTTTTTCTTTACTGCTCCCCCCTATCGGCTGTAAGGTGATGTTATACAGCCTAAAGCCTTTCTCAATATGCTATCCAACACAGAAATATTTTTCAAATCAGAACTGTAACAGAAGTTCTTGAGATTAGCGCGTTCAAACAAACAAACTCTTCAGCTTTATACGAATACTGGCTGTGCCCCGCGGTGTAATCCGCGGTAAAACGTAGTCTATGTGTTAATCCAGGGTATCAGCTAGCTTCATAGCAAATTTCATTAAAATCGCAGCCGTTTAGACGTGAAGATGTAACAAACATACACACTCACAAACTTTCGCCTTTATAATATTAGTGTGATTATTGGTATATAACTAGTTTCATATTCATGAGTAGAACTCATGAATATGAAACTAGTTATAGGACCAAACCAAATGAAAAATTTAATTTTTGCGAGACCTTGACCAATATTTCACAATGTTGATGTTTGTTTACTTACTCATTTAAGATGTTATGATCATAATATTATTATTTCAATGCCATTTCACAACTTTAGAACGAATAAATAATTTATTTATTTCCAGGGAAGTATAATCTACACTAATAATCCTACTATCCTAGCTACTTCCTACTTCCTACTAATATTATAAATGCGAAAGTTTGGATGTCTGGATGTTTGTTACTGTTTCACGCAAAAACTACTGAACGGATTTTGATGAAACTTTACAGCATTATTGTTTATAACCCAGAATAACATATAGGCTATAATTTCTGACGATCTGTGGCAAACTAAATTTCACGCGGGTGAAGTCGCGGGAAAAAGCTAGTCATATTATAAAAAAGAAAGATTTGTTTGTTTGGTTTTTCACATTTTGACTGGTGAACAGTTTTTAATCCATTTTTTTTTTATAGAGTAAGGAGAATTCATTTTGCCGGAAAAATGGGGTATGAAAGTTTTGCGAATGATTTTGAGTTATAGAAAATCGTTATTGATTATTTTTAACTGCTCAGTGCATTAAAATAGGTACCATTTTTAATTACTGTCAATTAAAAACCCAGAATTACATAATATTAGACGATTATATTCGCTTAACTTAATTATTAAATAAGGCATTGAACGGAGAGCGACTCGAATCTTTGATTGCCAGGATACAATACAAAAGGACGACAATAAATTACAAATAAAATAAAAAAATAAAAAGAACATTGTGCCCTGCTGTCAAGTAGTAAAGACAGCAACAGGCAGCGAATTCCAGTCCTTAGCTGTTCGCATTATAAGAGTTATCGAAACGCTTAGTGCGAGCTGGTGGAATGTCGACAATGTAGGTAGGGTATAGGCTAACCTGCGTCTGGTTCCCCGGTGATGGCAGGGTACTGGTGGAATTAGGTCAGGTTAGGTCTATCGCATGTATCACGTAGAGTGAACTAGAGTGCTCCAAATAATTGTCTGGACTGCATCCCTGCCGCCACTTTTCGCCATAGATATACCCGACAGCACTTCCATCCCCATCACTTAGATGGTAAGCAGTCCACAACAGTACGTTTCTCTAGAAACTTCCTGCCCTCACAACCAAATTGTGGAATGGACTGCCGTCTGCGGTATTTCAAGAAGAGACCGTACAGCGTACATATTTATGAAGTAAATAAAGACTGGCAACGCACCTGTAACGTCTCCAGGCCTGCTGGTGTCAATGGGTGACGGTAATCATTTACCATCAGGTGATCCGTCAAGTACCTAAATAAAGCGAACTATAACAATTTACTAAGATTTTATAAAGTACCTAATCGATATAAAAAATGTAATGATAAAAAAATTTGATACGGAATCCGTAACAGATAAATACAACCTGCACTTACCAGGTTCTTATTTTAATCTCATTCACCGGATTTACCTTAAATTTATTAACAATCGTAATTATAATAAATGCTGTAATTTTTGTAATTCTTGCATTTTAAGTAATTAGTAGTAATTTACATTATACAGGGTGTTAGGTAAATGGGTATATGAGCCGACACTAACCCATGTTAACATGGTCATATAAATGGTACGGTGAAGTCAGAAAATTGATATCTTCATTTTAATTATTTTAATTTTCATACAAATCGGATTTTATACATTTTTTTTTGTATGAAAATTAAAAAAATTTAAATGATGAAATCAAATTTCTAACTTCACCATACCATTTATATGACCATGTTAACATGGGCTAGTGTCGGCTCATATACCCATTTACCTAACACCCTGTATAACTAACATACCAAATTACCTCAATGCCTGAAGACTAGAGTGTATAACCAATGTGTGTTACCAGTGATAACTTATGGCTCGGAAACGTGGCCTCTCACTATAGGCCTTATACAGAAGCTCAAAGTTGCACAGCGTGCTATGGAGAGGGCTATGCTTGGTGTTTCTTTGCGAGATCGAATCAGAAATGAGGAGATCCGTAAACGAACCAAAGTCGCTGACATAGCCCGACGTATTAGCAAGCTGAAGTGGCAATGGGCAGTGCACATAGTACGCAGAACTGACGGCCGATGGGGCAGAAAGGTTCTGGAATGGAGGCCGCGTACCGGAAAACGCAGCGTGGGACGTCCACCTACAAGGTGGACCGACGACATTGTAAAGGTAGCAGGGAAGCGCTGGACGCAGGCCGCTACCAATCGATCAACATGGAAAGCATTGGGGGAGGCCTATGTTCAGCAGTGGACGTCCTGTGGCTGAAATGATGATGATGATGATGAGTAATTTACATGCAAAAAGCAATTCAGCGGATACCACGATCTGACATAAATAATAAACAAATGCATTAGTTCGTTTCAATAGGATTCCATCCACTGCTGGACAAAGGCCTCCCCCAAGGATTTCCACACCGACCGGTCCTGCACTTCCCGCGAACCATTTTATCGATTATGATAAACACATTTGTCGTCTTGATAATCGATAAGATATTTTTATCGTGGCGCGCATCGTAATCCGGTTCGACGAAATACATTGATGACTCTAATTTCGAAATCGCTTCGCGCAATCGTTTTTTTTTTTACTTTATTTTGACGCGCTGGCTTTGTTCCGGCGTTCTTTTGTAATTCATTCACTGCGCTTTTTGAAGCGATATTTAAATATATTTTTTCAGTAATGCAACAAAATTAATTGGCAATATTTATCATACAAAACATTTAGAATGTAGGTGAGCCTATCCTACTAAAACTACAACATTCTATAGCTTGGGCAAGACTTTCGTAAGAGTAACCGGTCCTAAGCGAGCCGACAAGTGTTTTACCTATTGCCTACTTCATAGATCTACGCCTCAATGGCCTAGTGGATAAAGTTGGACTGTAGGATCTGGATTCAATTCTCCGTTGGGGCGTAAAAAAATATCATCATTTCAGCCTCAGGACGTCTACTGCTGAACATGGGCCTCCCCTAATGACTACCACATCGCACGGTTGGT